TTATTTAGTTCATTCGTTTATTTTCTTTCAATTACTTTCGTTAGCTTTATTTATGTGATGTTTTGATTTTATTTTATTATTTTAATTTTATTTTATATTTTATTCATATCCTACCTTTATTATTTTTTTAAATAACTCAAGGTAACTCAATATCCAACACACCTTCCTCCTTTTATTTTCCCCACCACAACAGTCCTGCGAGGTGGGCTGGGCTGGGCTGCGAATGTATATATGTCACTCATTCCACTCTGAAGCAAATTTGGGCCGCCTATAAATTTAATAAGTACATTTATAAATATTTATTTATTATATGCAACACCTGAAGGAGCAGAGCTTGGTCAAACGTCCGCCATCTTGATTTTTTTTAACCCCTTTTGTACAAGGCCGCAAATCCCCTGTAATTTTTTTTTTCCAGGGGCAAATCTAAGAAAATTCCCACACAGTGCGAATTAAATGCCAGTGAAATGCTAAAATTTGGGCTTAATTTTGGGGAAAAAATGTTTTTTTGCGAATCGGAGAAGCTCTTCAAACCTCCAGGCTTTGCTTCTCTGTTTTTTTTGACAGGTTTTCAGTCTTATTCTCATTGGGATTTTCTGCTTGGACGCGTACAAAACCTACCAGGCGGAGATGGGATCGGAAGAAGGTGAGCAGATCAAATTAATTCGTGCTTGTTTCGCTCTGGCCGGCCGAGCGGACGGGACAGCTGGGCTTGGGAAAAGCCAAAACCAGATCGAGCGCCTGGATGGGAGGCCACCAGGCGATGCCTGGACTGGGGGCTGCATTGAGAAGTGAGCAGTGAGAAGCCAAGAGAGATGCGAGGAATTTATCCTCGATATCCTTGAATTTGGAATGAAATCTGATGACAGGTTTTCCTGAAAGCCGGAACAATGATTTAATCCTGGCTTCGAGACGGGAAAGAAAGAGAGGGAAGTGTTTGGAGATTATGCAGATGACTGGATTGATATTTAGTAGGCTTAATGAACAATAAAAATGGATACTCTTGTCATCCCCACCATTATTTACTCGATCTCTGCAACTTTAAGACGGGTGAACTTCAACTCCCAGAATTCCCCACAGCTGGTGAATTCAACTGGCTGCGCTGGCTGGGGAATTCTGGGAGTTGAAGTCCATACATCTTAAACTTGCTGAGGGAGAGAAACA